ATTATGGGACTAACACCAATATTGCATCATGAAATATGCATTTTTAAACTAACTTAATTTATATTTACATGGTTGGCACTTGTGCTTGGTTTAATGTAAGTATTGTATTATATATTATGAAAACAAAAATTCACTTTACATGTAGTTATGTAAATAGAAATATGTTAAAGACGTGTACGTGTGTGTATGACATTTACATCACGGTCTGCACTCAACTTGAAGGCAGAAACTCACACAATAAGCAATATGTGGAAAAGAAACTAAGGGAAGCTGGAAAGTTCATTAATTAAATTAAAGTCTCAATAAATTTTCATTTATCCGTTGTATTATAACAGTCTCTCTGGGGAAAATAAATGCAGCAATAAGAATATTAAAATAAATAAGCAATACATTGATATATTTAATATATGAGATCATGAAAAAACAACTGTGGTTGAAATACAGATCATAATAATAATTCCTACTGGCCCTTAGGAATCTGCTACTTCCTTTATTGCCCCCATGTTTCCGCTGTACTGCAGGTGAATATGAGGTACAGTAGAGAGATGCACAAAGACTGCAATATCCTTCTGATCCTTGGTGTATTTACACTATTAATCCTTTTAAACGTCAGATATTTGTGGGTTGCTTTGTGGCTTTATTTCAACATGCTGAGATGAAAATAGAAACACAAGGATTTTTGTGAATTAAAAAAAGGGATTTCGAATATTAGGTAGAAGCAGGATTTTAATTCCCCCCTTTGTCTCTTTAATCTCTGATGGTTTTACTTTACTGTCACTGCTAATTTATGTATTACATGTGTACTCTCTAAAGTTTGGTAAAAGTATGTCTGTATTGGTTGTCACAATACTATGTATTTTTTTTGCCCCCCAGATACAGACATTCAACACCCTGGGGCCCTGCACCTCAGTGGAGGAACTGGCCAATGGAGCAGCAATATCACAGGCGCTGAATCAGATGTAATTATGTTATCATATTATTATATTATTATTATATCCACAGACAATTCAATTACAAATGTTCTGGAATTCACATGTTTATTTCTTTGTTTGTATTGGTACAACGGACTCAAAGCCATAAAAATACCAGACTGTGATTTGCCAAAGGTTCTGGCAGAATTAGCTGTAAACAGCTGAAACAAACGTGTGTTTGGTAAAGCACGTTAAAGGCACTTCAGCCAAATAGCTGGGAGGTTTGGAGAGTTTTATGGATTTTTATCACTTTTTTGCTGCCTTAATTTTGGGACTCCATCAGAAAAATCCCTGATTTTATAATGTCATTCATATTGGAGTTCTATATTGAAAATAACTTGGTGCCCAGTTTTAGAAAGCTATGCCTCCACTAGAGGTCATCAGTCTTCCGCAGTGTTTCCCAAACTTCTGGGGACCCATATTTTAGAAGTCACGAACCTTCAGGACCCAAGTCCTGCTTTGGTCCTTGACCTTCAAAGATAATAATGATAGTATGTGTCCATAACTTTTTTTTGTATGCATCTGAGAAGTTATACTAACTAGTCTTTGTTGTTGTGCTCATGCCACAGAGACCCTGCGTACTTTGACGACGGATGGCTTGGTCGGATCAAAATAGATATTGACAACAACGTGAGATTAAAGGTACAGAGCTCTAATCTCACAGTCCTCAGTGAGGCCACTCTGACTTTACTTTTCACATAGATAATGGAAATAGTTTGAGTAATCAATGTGTCATATTTTATTTTTTTTCCATCGTTCACGTTGTGTTGTCCTTGTCCTTTCTCAGATGAACAACCTGAAGAAGATTCTTCAGATGGTGGTTAATTATTATAATGAGGTAAGCTGAGAAAGAAAAAAAACCCACATTACTGTGAGAGTTGGACAGTTACTATGTTACCTGAATACCTGTGGGAGTGGCTACCTGCAGGTTTTATCTTAGTACAAAGCCCGAGGAGAATTGATCGTGGAAAATGATGTTCAAAACAAGTAGATCAAATCCATAGCTGCCCATGGTGTGTTGCCATTTACCTAACAAAATACACGTATTGTATTTTTTATTTATTATTGTGTGTGTGTTGTCTCCCTCTCCCTCTCTGTCTTACCTTACACCACCACACCTCCAGCTGCACAAAAGGACGGGGGGCTTTTGTCTCTTTTTGTCTCATTGTTTTTGGTTCTGTTTCGTACATTGTCCTGCGGCTGTTTTACCTGCTGCTTTAAGCGAACTCTGAAGCGTGTTTGACTTGAGTTACGCTCTGTCCCCTCAGGTCTTAGACGAGAAGATCTCGGACTTTCGTTTACCAGATGTGGCCTTAGTGGCGGAGCGATCCGACCCGGTGGAGCTGGGGAGGCTACTGCAGCTCATACTGGGCTGTGCTGTCAGATGTGAGCGTAAACAAGGCATGAAACCGCTTGTATGACATAAATACATGTGCTGTAGTATAATATAATCTGTAATATTACTATTACTGTAATATAATCACGACCACTGCCAAGTCAAACTTTTGTTCTCTCCTCTGTGAGTACAATATGGCTAAAAGACTCTCCTTCCCTCTATCTATCCATCCATCTATCATTCATCCATCCATCCATCCATCCATCCTTCCATCTATCCATCCAGCCATCCATCCATCCATCTATCACCCATCATCCATATATCCATCTATCTATCATCCATCCATCCATACATCCATCTATCTAGCATCCATCCATCCATACTATCATCCATCCATCCATATCCATCCATCCATCTATCTATCTATCATCTATCCATCTATCATCCATCCATTCATCTATCATTTATCCATCCATCCATCATCCATCCATCCATCCATCCATCCCTAACCTCCCTTCCTCCTTCCCTTTCACTAGTAGTGAGAACAGCACATTACAGGATATTTCAAAGAAAGAAATGCATATATATTCAATTAATCTCTGTCACTCTCTTGGCAGAATACATTCAGGTCATTATGACCTTGGAGGAGTCTGTGCAGCACGTTGTCATGACAGCCATCCAGGAGGTCAGAATCCCATAGCTCAGCTTTTTACTTTGTGGTTTTAAGCTCAAGAAACGCTTGCCAGTACTTGTGCCCTGATGAGTAACTGTAACTTTTACACATGATCACAACTATTTTTCCCTCTATATACGGCCATTTTGTGTCGCCTTACAATCACCAAGCCCTTGATAACCCCAGTGACACGCTTTCGTTACAGCTCATGAGTAAAGAGACCACGGACCCATCTGAAGCAGACCTGTCCGGGGACTTACAGCACCAGGTCAGTGTTTCTACTCCTACTTAGAGACTGGAGTGTTTGGGAAAAATTTGAAGCCTTCCTCGGTGCCACAGTGTTAGTTATATAATGTTTACATTCCCCTGTGTCTCAAGGCGGCTGAGCTAAAAATGATCTATATTTGATTTAGGATTTGAGCTGTAGGAATCTCTCTACACGGGTTGGAACTCATGACGTCTTTTTCTGTTCTTAAAAAAAGTTAAGGTCTCCTGTTAATGTACTGTTCCTGAAGTAAAATGTCCCTCTTTTAGCTCTTTCTTTTTTCCCCCTAGTTAAAAAAAGCACTTGAAGACCTCGGTGAAGTTTTAGCTGAGAAAGAAGCGTTAGTCCAACGCTGTCAAGAGTTGGACATACAGGTAAAATCAGCTCTCTCTCTCTTACACACAAACACACACAATTTATGTCACATCCCTCATGCAAAGTATACAAAGAGGTTTGTAACTGTAAGCACAGTGCCGATTGGTCTACCACGTCAGCCGATTGGACTGACCAACTTTTCACTCGACAGATGTAATATGTTTTTCTGTCCCCAGTCGCATCCATGTGTCGCTGCTGTGAGGTAAGTCCAACGCAGGCTGCCGACTTGTGGATTCTAACACGGCTAACAAAATGTAACAGTTTCCGTCCTGTCAAACAAAAGTCGCTCGGTATTTTGATATATAAAAATCAATCATTGTTGCATAAAAGAAGAAAGCTAAGGCTAGAGGTAGCGCTACAAAAAAAGTCCTTTTCAACTTAATGGTTCAACAAAGTAATTTCTGTCTAGTTACAAATGGGTTCATTTACCACGGGTAAATTGTTGGTGTTAGAGTCGCGCCTGTTTATTGTACGTACTTTAAATATTTTCTCCAACAGACTTGGTAAAATTTGCTAATTCTAATAGAAAATTAAAAAATATTTATGTTTTTTTAAGCACTGTTGGGAAGTGTAGGTGATAATAATAACTAACTAGCTGTCTATTAACACATTTCTGCTTTAAGCATGTACTAATTCAGCAGTTTTTTTCACAGCCGGGAGTGGAAGAAGGTCTTTTTTGCTTTGCATGACTGAACAAAAAAAACAAACCCAAATAACCTGATGATTGTTGCGTTTGTGTTCATTTATTTCACACTCCAATATCTGAATATCTGTTGTTTGATATATTTTTCTTATTTGCACAGGTGGCTGTACTGCAAGAAGAACAAAATAGTTTATTGGCCGAGAATGACGTCCTAACTGACCGGGCCAATCAGCTGGACACATTCGAAGACCCCAGCACGCCGTCGGGAAGAAAACACAGCCAGTTACAGCAACAGCTGGAGACTCTGCAGGAGGAGAATTTTAGGTTCAATCACTTTCTTCTCAAACCCACCGTACTGTACCTAGAGTTACGCCTCGTGATAATCCTGTGATCATGTTGTCAAGGCTGGAGGCAGCTAAGGACGACTATCGAATCCACTGTGAAGAGTTGGAACAGCAGCTGATTGAGGTTCAGCACCGTAACGATGAGCTAACGAGCCTGGCAGAAGAGTCCCGGGCCCTCAAGGATGAACTAGACATAATGAGGTATGTATGTGCCCGCAATGTTTCACATCAACTCTTCTAAGAAATAAATATAAACCATCTCAGGCACTTGGTCAAACTCAAGGCCCGGGGGCCAAATGTGGCCCGCCATGTCATTTTATATGGCCCACGGGAGCATAAAAAGCATTTAAGTCCTTGTATCATTTTCTTCACCTAATAAAAAAATATATTATTAACAATATTTGTAACTTGAATAAATAATAATCGATTTAAACAATCCTACACTTACAACCGGCCCTTCAACACTTCGTTAGTGTCGATCTTGAACTCTAAAATCTTGTGTTCGTGCAGAAACTGCACCGATCGAGTGGCCATGCTTGAGGCTTCTGTGGAGACATACAAACGTAAACTGGAGAATCTGGACGATCTGAAGAGGCAGATGAAGCTGCTGGAGGAGAATAACATGACCTACATGCAGAATACTGTCAGCCTGGAGGAAGAGTTGCGCAAGGCCAATGCTGCCCGTGCCCAGCTGGAGACGTACAAGAGACAGGTAAAGTTGAGGAAGTGATTCCTTTTACGTTCTGGTATTTCTTGAGATCAGTGTTTGATTTTTTTTTTAACACCAGTCACACCAGCCAAAAAAATCATAATGAAGAAGAAATAAAACATATATATAAGTCGCATCAGTGCCCTCTAGCGGCTGTCAGTGTGAAAATAACGAACATGTAAATTTTTAGTGGTACAGGAGTACCAGATACTGGTCCACAAGCCTACAGTGCCCTCTAGCGGCTGTCAGTGTGACAATAACAAACATGTCAAATTATATATTTTAATATATAAGTCTCACCTGAGTATAAGTCGCAAACCCAGCCAACGGATAAAAAAAGTCTGACTTACAGTCAGGAAAATATGGTAGTTTTATTTGTAACTTTTTCACCAAATTGCTGTTAGGATTTTTTTTAAATTATTTTAACTATTTAACCAAAAATGGCCTCTTTTGATTCTTTTCGCTGTTTCAGGTCCAAGAGCTCCACAAGAAGTTGTCTGAGGAGTCGAGGCGTGCGGACAACTTTGCCTTTGAAATGAAAAAGTTGGAGGAGAAGCATGAAACTGGGATGAAAGAGAAAGAAGTGAGGCAAATATCGATAAGGCAAAAAAAAAAGAACTAATGTAAAACTTTAAACCAGCTGTTATTTTATTGTTTGTTTTTTTACACTCCCTCTCTTAGAGAATTATCATTGAAAGAGATTCTCTTAAAGAGATCAACGAGGAGCTGAGATGCACTCAGGCTCAACAGCACCAGCTCTCCCTAGCAGGTATCCTTCTTGGAGTTTCTGATGGATGTCCTGTGGTCTGAGTCATAATCATTTCATTAGGACGTAGTAGCAGATGAAAACGAACCTTAGTTGCCGACAGAAATCCTAAAGGAAAGCTGTATTTGCAGCATCTCTCAAACACTAAGCTGTAAACCCAGGCTTATATCAAATACTTTTCTGTTTCAGTCACATTTATTCTCTATATTTTATGCAGCATTTCTTCCTTCCGGAATCCCAAGCCACGATAACCTGGCAGCTGAATTGATTCCAGTTGAGTACAGGTAAGAGGCACAACCTGGACGCCGCCGCCTTTTCTTCTCGCTCCTTTGTACCTTTGCGTAAGCGCTGTCTTTGTTTGTGGCCGTTTAAGGGAGAAGTTTATCAGGTTACAGCATGAGAACAAGATGCTGAGAGTACAGCAGAAGGAATTTGAGCAGGAGAGGGTTACTGCTCTGCAGGCCCAGCTGGAAGAAGCACACAAGACCCGAAGTGAGCTGGATACTGAAAACAGGTAGGGGGTAAAACACACGTTTGCCCACCAAGAAGCTAGAAAATTCAGACAAAATTCAGACAAAAAACAAAACGATGTCTTGGTCTGCTGTTGGATTGCATTCTGTGTCAGTTGCAGTAACAAAATCCAACAGCAAAGTTGATCCCTGTGCACTTCAATGTTAATGTTTCTTCCGTATAAATGGGACATTGCTCTAAACCATATGTGTCAAACTCGAGGCTCGGGGGCCAAATGTGGCCCGCCAAGCCGTTTTATGTGGTCCATGCAAGTTTCTTAACCTGAGAAATTAAACGTTTTTTTTATATTACACAGCAATGAACAATATTTGTAGCGTGAATAAATAATAATCAATTGCAGAAACATGTATTAGTCTGTTATGGACTAGTTACATCTATACCAGCGATCCCCAACCTTTTTGGTTCCAAGGACTGGTCAGCCAGTATCACCTGTTACCCATGACATATTATTTTAAAATATGTCCAGATTATTTTAAATAAAAAAAAGTAAATTGATATGACTGGATTTAATTTGAATGAAGTAAATTAAGTCAATTTTTTCACTGTGTCCCACTGCAGCCTGGTACCAAATGACCTATGGACTGGTACTGGTCCACCGACCGGGAGTTGTTGTTGTCGTTTGTGATTTGGTTGGATGGAGTTGACGTCATTTCCTTGGTTATTTAACTCATTTTTAGATTGGGCCGAGAGCGGATCACTGAGCTGCAGCAGCAGGTGGAGGACCTTCAGAACTCTCTGCAGAGTCAGGCGGGCAAACCCGATGATGTGAGTCATCTAGTGGCACCAACAGAAATTACAGTCGATTTGGTGTAATGCATAAAATAGAATGACTGATCTATCTTTACCATACTTTGTACTAGTGTTTGCCAGGCCGGATTAGAAAGCCCAGCGGGCCATATCTGGCCCATGGGCCATAGTTTGCCCATGCCAGATCTACTGAGTGGCTTTATCCGTTTCGGCCATAGTTTGCCCATGCCTGATCTACTGAGTGGCTTTATCCGTTTCCTGTATTCAAAAGAAATAATAATAATAATAGGTAATGGTTAGGTTTGTCTGGGTGTAAGAGGACGCTATTCTCAATTATTTTTCAATATTATTTCAGTATTTAATTTTTAGCTTCTTATTGTTGGCGCCATGCAAGACGTCTGCACATATTTAACCAATTTTTTTCTAACATAATATTCCTTGTATTTTTCTTTTCTTTTAGTCCAACCTAAAACGAAAACTGGACGCACACATGTGAGTTGAGTCTCGTGTCAATGCTTGACAGTTAAAAGCCAGCAGATGACAGTAAAAGCTTTTCTTTTTCTCTCTAGGGTCCAGCTGAACGAGGCTCAGGATGAGCTCATGAAGAAGAAAGAGCTGCTGGAGGACCTTGAACCTGAAAACACCCAGACATGTAAGTTTTTAAGGGCTTTTCTCCTCCTACAGGTCACTGTGCTGGAAACTTCAGTGAAACCACATGATGGATTTTTGTCATGTCTTCAAGCTCTGAAGGTGGAGGAGCTGACGGCTGCTCTGAGAAAGAAGGATGACGACATGCGGGCCATGGAGGAGAGATACAAGATGTACTTGGAGAAAGCACGCAATGTGAGTCCCTTTGAGATACTTCTGTGTTTTACTGAGTGTCATTAAGAAGGCAGTCTTTAAAATCATTTGTATTCTCCCTGACTCAGTTTGGCGATTTGGTCTGTTTTCTTGAGGCAGCATTTTTAGAAATAATTCACATTTCAGATGCTCAGATTTCTCTACCTGTGATTAGATGTTTGTGACACCAGTGTGCCTGCTGTACACTAGACCTCACTAAATACTTTGACTTGTAGGTGATTCGAGCGCTGGATCCTAAACTGAATCCAGCCACGGCTGAGATTCAGGCCCTGAAGAACCAGCTTGCAGACAGAGAGAAGCAGATTCTCAACCTGGAAGTAAGTTTGCAGCTTGAGTCCTTGTTTACAATTAAACTGAATTTGCAGTAAATGTAACGTAAAATCAGGTCTGACCCAAATCTTACGAATGTCATTTTGCCTCTTAGCGTCAGTGTGAGCAGGCCAAGTTGAAGGAATACGAGGAGAAGCTTATTGTCACAGCGTGGTATAACAAGGTGAGGAAGTTTTATCTTTTTTTTTTTTTTAAAGGATTAAACTCATCAAACCCTTTATCTAACCTAACTTAGAATTAAAATTTGGTTACAACAAATGTTACTATATTAATTAAAACAGAAGGAAAGTCTGGTTTTTGTTATGCGCCCCCTAGAGGACAGAATTTTTTTCACGCCTCTTTCCCCTCCAAATGTATGAGTTGCTGCCACCTAGTGACTGGAGGCTTGTTTATCGTCCACACTTCTGTCAAACATACTATATTTAATCGGAAGCCTCTCACGCCCAACTCCCCCACACACCTCCTGGCACCTCGCCATGTCCACCCAAGGGACCCCACCCCACTATTTGAGAAGTACTGAGTTAGCAGAAGGCTCCAAAAACTGCTATCAAAAAGAAAATAAAACGAGTCTCAAAATGAAAGTAAATAATAATTATACTCACTGTATGAATGCAATAGTTAAATTGATTGACTTGTATGTGTTTTGTTATGCGCGTGACCTTCCCTTTTCAGAGCCTGACCTTTCAGAAGTTAGCCATAGAATCACGTCTTGGCGGCCGCTCTGCATCCATGTTGTCTACCGGACCGTCCTTTTTGGCCCAGCAGCGGCAAGTTTCGAACGCTCCACGCCGGGAACTCCCGGTCAGCGTGCCTGCAGCTCCACACAAATAGACCGTATGACAAATGTATGGAATGTATGGGAGGGGGAAAAAAAAACTTTCACCCTACAAACGAACACTTAAGTGACCTTAAACACAGTAGCATGCCCAGAAGGGAAAAAGTTGCAAAGTGAACAAAACTACTGACACTTCATGGTGTGTAGGGAGACTTCCTGTCAACATCATATATATGAAGAGCAAATCAAATGAACTTTTGCAGTCAAATCATTATTTGCTAATAGATGCTCAAAAATAACATTGCACATTTAATAAATGAAGGCTATTAAATAAATAAATGTGCTTACTGTAAAAAATGTTCAACTGATCTATGCAGTGAGTTGTTTTCCAGCACTTAGATGTAGAAATGCACCTTTAATTATCTTCAGGAAAACAATTGTGGTGCAGGTCACCAGCCGTGTACAGCCACCAAACACCGGACATATTTTTCTGAACAGTAGAACAGGAAATCACAACTGAAAATCCTTCAGTTTTAATGAACAACACCTTGAGCTTTTGAACCTTTTAAAGTTGCAGTTCTAACGTTTGAAAAGCGAGTTAAATTCACAGACGTAACGTTGTCCACTGGAATGATACGTAGATAAGGTTTGAGTGTTCACGTGGTGAGTTTTAGCATTTACAGCGACATCCAAATTGTAACTTTCTTTTTTTTTTTAATGAATGTCAAAGCAGAGGGTTAGGGTAAGAACGTGTTTGGTTTTGGGTTTAACTGGTTTCACCATGTGAAAGGGCCGTCTTGGTTACCGCGTTAGCTCAGCAGTACCAGGAGTGAAGTATTTTCATGGTTTCGCTGTGTCAGAATGTGTCAATGTGTTCTACGGCTGATTTATGTGGATTGTTGGTTTAAAAAAAAAAAACGAAACTAATTTGTAGAAATCTAAGACGTACAATCAAATATCAAACACAGCAGGGAATAAAATCTAGTAGAAAAAATCAAAAAGAGTTTTGATGTAAAATCCCAAATTGTTATAGGCATGTAGAATTTATAAAGTTAGTATTTGGGTTTCCTGTGAATAAAATATTTTTTCTTAAAACCTTCCTGTCCCTTCGCATACTTAACACACACAAACATTTGTAATCAGATTAATCACGTGGTAGCTGTGGATTAAATAAGCAGTTAATCTGGTTTGAACAACATTTAGGGATATGACCCAAAGGAAAGAATAGATGGATAATTAACATATAAAGATTTTTAAATAAGATAACAGTTAGAGAGTTGAGCGGGCTACTGCGTAGATCTTGAATGGATGTGGTGCGCGTGTAGCTCCAGTGATTCCCTCTGTGCTCAGCTGAGTTGCATCCTTGGTGGAGAAGGAAAACTTCTGTAACAGACTAACAAAGAACAGGAACAGCTCCATCCTGGCCAGGCCTTCTCCCAGGCATGCACGTTTTCCTGGAAGAAACAACAAGTACAGCTCTCACTTTCTGTTCTCACAGTCCTTCACACTGTATTCCTGCACCTTTGATGATTTAAGACGTGCTGTTCACTGAATGAAAGAAAAAAGTTGTAGGCATTTGATGGATAGATGGATGAATGGATAGCCACACTGTATTCCTGCACCTTTGATGATTTAAGACGTGCTGTTGACTGAATGAAAGAAAAAAGTTGTAGGCATTTGATGGATAGATGGATGGATGGATGGATGGATGGATGGATGGATGGATAGATAGATGGATGATAGATGGATGTATGGATGCATGGATGGATAGATAGATGGATGTATGGATGGATGGATGGATAGATAGATATATCGATAGATGGATTGTCCTAGTTTGATGTCTCTAACAAAAGCACCAAACACCAAAGAGTACGCTGACTAATTCAACTGATTAAAATCACCATATACAGTACAGTACCAGTTCAAATACAGTCAATATCGTAAACCTTGAAAACAAACTTTATTACTGAATTTAAATGAATGTCTATATCCTGGAATATACAGTATGTACCTGCAGAAAAAGGTAAAAACGCCTCCCTTTTTACAAACTTCCCCTCAGCATCTAAGAAGTGTCCGGGGTTGAAGGTGTGTGGAGTTTCCCACTCGGTCTTGTCAAACAGCACAGATGTCAGGTTGGGCATCACTGAGGTTCCCTACAGAGTCAACGACCAATAAAAATATAAAAAGAAAGACTTTTTTTATTTGTCTTTATTACGATTGTATTATTTTACCCTGATTAAATCAGTGAAAACAGAACTAGCTGTTGATGTACCTTTGGTATGAAGTAACCTCCCAGCGTTGTGTCTCTGGTCGCCATTCTAAGTCCATTCAGAGGAACAATGTTTCCCATCCTCTGGATCTCGTGGATGACAGCATCAGTGTAGGGCATGTTGGATCTGTCGGCCATACTAGGAAGACGACTCCGTCCAATCACTCTGTCTATCTCTGCTTGGACTCTAACTACACAGTGAAAGTAGTTGAAACAAATGGTTCTCATGGAACACAGTCCTTCTTTTCTTTACCTTTCTGTAAAAGCAGAGACTTTCTAGTTGTCCAGTACAGGCTAAAAAGGAAATATTGAAAACACTCGCTGTACCTTGGATCTCAGGGTTCATAATGAGGTAGATCAAGCCCCACTGCAAGGCCTTGGAAGTAGTTTCACTGCCAGCGAGAAAGAGATCCAGACAACAGTGTACCAGATTTGTTTCCTCGAAACCTTGCTCACTGCTTTTGCGGTGCTGTGGAAGGAGAAACTGTTTAACGGTTCTTCGTGGACCTGTACTGTAGTTTAGAGAATTTAATTTAGGCAACTATAATATACACATACATTCATCTCTATTAGGAAGGTGTCGATGTAGTCATGTGGGTTGTCCAGGTCCAGGTCCAGCTTGTGATCTTCTACCTCTCTCGTGATAAATCCCTCCAAAGACTTGGAGTTGGCGAAGATGCGATTGTGAGGCCCCGGCAGGTATTTCATCAGAGATGGGAAAGAATCGTAAAGCTGTTTGGAGAAATAATAAGCTGACTTTTTAAAACATTTTGGTTTCCTAAATTATTCCGTAATTATTTATGTCAAACCCTGAATTACCCCTCGGTTGTTTCGTACCTTTACTAGGCATAAACCTTTAAAACTTACAAAATTCGTACCTTTACTAGGCATAAACCTTTTTATTATAAACGCACGCCATATCTATGGCCACAAGAGGGCACTGTCTACTACCGTGACAAATGAACCACTGGGAAATGTCACAACGAAATAAAAATCTGACCAAAAGAAAATGGCTGAGATTATAAAGTATGCAGCCAAAATTTTAACTGAGAAGCAGAAAAGGAACTAACGGATCAACTGTAACAGATACTGATGGTGACAGCCCGAAGGAACTTCTTCCTTCTTCAGAGTTGGCGGAATTGTTTAGACGCGACACCTTCGAGGAATGGAGGAATAAAAATACAAGAAACTATTCTTGTATAACGGCCAGGCAGCGGGAAACTGCCCTTGTGTGCAGTCGCAAATTGGCCCAGGTACGCAAGCGCAGTCAACTCGGGTAAGACGTTTCTATGGGTAGGATGAAACTTAATGGAAACGTGTCGAACTTCTTACCCTGTTTAATGCTAATATGTTTATCCCGTGTTCTTTTGGCTGTTGTGTAAATGAATAGTCTTTCCAGACTAAACGTTTGTTCGTGGGTTCTTTAAGAAGTTTTTCTTCAAAAATAAATGAGACTTATGTTTTGCCCCTATTTTTAGGGATAAAGTCTGGAATACACGGTACTAGAATTAGATGAATCTGGGATTATAAGAGTCCTTTTAGGATTTTAGAGACCTTTAGCGTATTTCTGTTCAAATGCTAGGTTTATTTTTGACTCAAAATGAAAACCACATTTAGGAGAATCAACACTTCATCAAGTCTTGCTACTCTAGGTAAACAGTTACTTGTACTTCTTACCAGAGCCCATACAGAGCCTTCTAAATATGCCATTTCAGTCAGACTTTGCAGCATGCTCTGAAAGTCGTGGTCACTGTAGTCAAATCGTCTTCCAAACACAATCTGGCAGATGATGTTGGCTACAGCGTTGAGCAGAAGGGGAGCAGGGTCAAAGAGCTCACCTGATCGGGAGAGATGTCTTCAGTGACAATTCACCAAGTTTAATTAACTTTTCAGTTCTTTGTTGTTGTTGTTTTTCTTCTACCAAACCTGTCTTCTTTTCCATTGCCTCTAGAAGGTGTCTGCTCTCTTCATAGATGCTCTGCTCTGAGCAGTTCGGCCCAAAGGTACGTAACATGGTCATGGCAAACCGACGCTGTCTCCTCCACACCCTGCCATTGCTGAAGAAAAGACCTGTGAAAATAGTACAGACACAAATGCTTGATCAAGAAGTGCTCATAAGGTTTGTTGGTAAACCTCTTCTATTCACAGGGTTTGTTGGATCTACCTGAGTTTCCTGAATAAATCCTGTTCACCATTGGGCTGTAGGGTCGATCCACGAAGATGTCAGCCTGTGTCACTATAGCTTGCTTCACCATCTTCCACCCAGACACAAACACGGTTTTGTGTCTACCCAGGCGAATACAGAACACATTCCCGTACACATCAGCAAGCTGTGAATGCAGAGAAGAGCTGCTCTGTTGTCAAGCATGTGATTACTGTTAAGTGGCTTGTTGTCCACTATGGGGCAGCGGTGAAACAATATGTTGGCCACTCACAATGACTTGATATCAGTTTGGTTTGTTTTTTTTAAACTGAAATTTAAGAAGAGAGAGAGAGAGAAAAAAGGAAATCTACCAGATACAACGCTGTAGAGCAGGTAGCTTACCTTTGTGAGATAAAGGTGAGGCTGTTTAGCTTCAATGTTGAAGATGTTTCCTAAAAAAGGGAGAGGAGGTGGTCCAGGGGGAAAGTTAGGTGGATCCTTTTTGGTAAGAAAATACCCCAGCAGAACAGCAGAGATGATGACCAACAGTAACAAATGAAGTCCCAGCATTGTGAACGGAGCAGAGGCAAACAAATGGGCTGTTTAAAACGCATTAGTCTCTGGTATGAGATGATGGGCGAGGACTTGGGTGGAGTTACAGCTTAGAGACATTGGAGACACCTCATCGGGGTTGCCGGGTTTTTCTGATGTTTCTTTGATTTGAAAATCAAAATTGTGATGAATAAAAACAGAACTCTTGATGTAACAATCAAAATGAAACACAATGTTACTTGAAAAACAGTGGTTCTCGCTTGTCTGTCATGCGACCAATTGGGGCCCGGCCCACAATTTGAGAGGTACTGCTTTAAAATAAAAAAACATTTTACTTGGCTGTATCCATTAACAAGACTGTTGGTCCAGATGACATACATATGGAGCTATGGAGATGCTCAGGAGAGAGTGTAGTGGACTATTTTACCAGGTTGTTTAACACAGTTCTGGAGACTGAGATGATGCCTATAATGATAAAATTTTATAAGAAGGAAAATAAGCATGACCTTGGTGTTTTATTACTGAGAGATACTTTATTGATCCTGAGGGAAATTTGAGCACGATCTACTGAGTGATTAAAAAAACTTTTAATTTTATTCTTCCTTTTTCAGCGAACTCTGGCTTGAACCTTGAATGGATGTGGAACTCGTGTTGTTCCAGTGATTCCTTCTGTGCTCAGCTTCACCCCATCAGGAACAGTGAAGGAGAACCTCTGAAGCAAAGCTACCAGAAACAGAAAAATTTCCATCCTGGCCAGTCCTTCTCCAAGACACACACGTTTACCTGGAAATTACACACAGACATGGGATCTAAGATGGGGTTTTATCAACCATTTATTGTGGTCTGACATGTTCTGCCTCAATACATGTTAAACCTGATTGTGTGTACCAACATTTTTAGTCTTTTGTCTAAACCCAAATTGTTCTTGGTAACAGGGCACATATTTGTCCCGTTGTCACCGCACAACCAGTTATTTTTGTTGAAATTCTTATTTTATTGAAGCCAGTTTAGGGTCATTTCGAGGAAACTACTTTATATTAAATCCTCAAACTGACATTGTCGTCACATTTGACAATATATCATATATATTTATATGCTTGTATCAAATGTACTGCCCTGCTACAAATGTTGCCGTTTGGGTTCTATAAACGCGTTTGTTAATATAGTGGAATGTATGCTTGGCATTTTATTTCGAAAGATAATGAAATGTCCCGTGTTTTTTGGTGTGTTTGAATGTTTCATGCCGGTTCTTTGCTGTTTTGGGTAACCATGTGTCAGTCCTTCAGTTAGTCTGTTATTAACCAATTAGTGCTTGTTAGAGATAAGCGTAAGTACCAATAGGATTTTGGGAAGGGGCGGGGATTAAAAAGAGAAGATTAAACGGGGAAGAAACTCGAGGGTCCCGTTCGAGAGTAAGTTTTATTTTTTTTAACCTCGCCTTCGTTCGTTGGAAGAAGGATAGTTTTCTGCGTAGAGTATAAACGCTGTGTGAATTTGTAATCAGATGAATATTGTCTAAGTGTAGTGTTAAGTCTACATGCGGCTACTGCTGTAGCGGGCGCTTGGAACTTCCCGCCGTTGTCGTCACACACGGTTCTTTCAACGGGATTGGTTGCTCCGTTTCATCTCACTCTTCCGACGAAACAGAAGGTTCCAGGAAGCAGCTGTTCATTGTAATTGCATTTCCAAGGATCAGTGAGTACGGAAAAACATTTTTTATTCTCTCCAAGGGAGCTCCAATACACTGCCAACGGCATGTTAACAGAACCAAGTTTCCAAAACCTGAATATTATATTATATATATTATATTACTCATTGTTCATGTGTTAGCAACATATATGCTAATGCTAATTCACGGCTGCTGAGTGTGTGTATATATTAGAGCTGTATTGTGTGTTCAAGATATGCATGAGTTAGTAAAGTAATCAGTACCTCTGTAACCTAGTTAGAGTCATATGTTTCAGTTACAGATATATTTAGAATTTAATATTTTATTAGACTCTCCTCAAATTGCCTCTCATGCTTAAGGTGTCATTTGGTGTGGGGCATACCATGACAATTGAACCAAATTATAATTGATGGAGGGCTAATAATGTAAAAAAGAATATGTATTAAATTGTCCAAGAAAGTGACTTGGTGGAATTGGCTCCCATAATACTTGTAAAAGATACCTGCAGAAAAGGGCAGATGTGCTTCTTTCTTCACAAACTTCCCCTCAGCGTCCAGGAAGTGTCCAGGATTGAAGGTGTCTGGAGTCTCCCACTGACTCTTGTCAAACATCACAGAGGTCAGCAGGGGCATTATGGCGGTACCCTAGAAAACAAAACACCAAATAAGTTCTCATTCTCTTTACCATATACTGTACAGACTGCAAATACTACCTTTGGAATGAAGTAACCGCCCAGCGTTGTGTCTTTAGCCGCCATTCTGAGTGCATTCATGGGAACAATGTTTCCCATCCTCTGGATCTCATGAATGACAGCATCAGTGTAGGGCATGTTGGATCTGTCAGCCATACTAGGAAGACGACTCTGTCCAATCACTTTGTCTATCTCTTCTTGGACTTTTTCTGGAAAGTCAATGATTTAGTTTATTTAATTTATTATATCAATTAAAATATCTTTAAACTGTGTATCAGCCTTGGCCTGGCATTTAACATTTTAAATATTTTCAGAATCTCTGTTAAGCCTCAACCTTCAAACTGGCCATTACCTGGCATCTGTTAGACCATGTAGTCGTATTTGTTCTTTTTCATTATTTAACAACTTTTTAATTTCACCTACCCTGAACATCTGGGTGGTTGATCAGGTAAACCAAAGCCCACTGTAAAGTGGTAGAAGTGGTCTCGGTTCCAGCTAGGAACAAATCCAGAGAGCACAGAGTCAGATTTGTCTCATTGAAGCCAAGTTCAGGTTCTTTGTGCTGTTCAGGATGGTAAAACGGAATACAGCAGTAATGAGCAGGTTTACCAAAGCTAGCTACAGCCTCTGTGTTCCATGGAGTGTTAGCCTTTTTCTTACGTACCTTGTCCATTTCAATAAGGAAAGTATCAATGTAGTCCCGAGGATTGTTGTGGTCCAGGTCTTTCTTGTGCTTCTCTACCTCCTCATGGATGAAATCTTTGACCAGGTCAAAGTTTGTAAATAATTTGTTGTGAGGACCTGGTAAGTGCTTCATCACACTGGGGAATGACTCATAGAGCTGCAAAACAAACAAGAAGTTATAAGTTAGTGTGATTAAAAATAACACCATGTCATAAACAACAACAACAGATTACCCAAGACTGGGAGGAGGCTGATATTTGAAGTTACTGGTCTTAAAATATGTAATGCATGTTATAAAATATAGAAGCATAAAAATCTCTATAATACGGTAAAGGTAAAAGCAAAAATAACTCATGAACCAGGTGGTTACAACAGCAAGGACTGAAAACAGTATATATTTCAAACGTTCGTGCACCAGTTCCATTGCTAACATTATCCCTAATGGTAATAAAATCTGTACAGTGTGGTGCAGGAACGTTTGAAATAAGTTCCGGGTTATGGACCGTCACACTTTGTTAGGAGGTTATTGCATTTGTGTTCTTCAGAGCACTGAGGCGTCTGACTGGTCCGTCGCCGGGGCATTGAACTACAGTATTTTTAGAGCACACCATCATTTAGTGAAACCCAGGCATTGTGTTATCGGGTTTTCATTATCAATAATAAAACCAATAATGATTCTTACAGACATTACGTAGATATGCTAATATCGACATCCCTAGTTACAAGTGGATTACTGCTTAGAAAACAAACACTGTTCCTTCGTTATGAACTACTGCCCACTTTTTTTTAGCATAAGTTGTGTATGTGTTTGAAGTGTGTTGCAAAACTAATGTGTTTTGCTTTAGCTTTACTTTTTTTTCAGAAAAGGTTTGTCAACAAGGTTCACCAAAGTTAAACAGGGAGTACTAGGACTTTGTTCTGTTTGGTTTCCAGATCCAGCTTGATCTTGATCTTGATTTTCACACATGCTGATGGTTAGGGCAGGATATGTTTCAAATATAATTAACAAAATGTTTAGGGAGAGGATTAAAGCAAAAGAGTAAAAAAACAAAACAAAAAAAACCCCCCTAAGGCTAGGACTGTCTTTCTATCAATAATTTAGTTTTATACATGTTAACTTACTTTACCCCATACAGAGCCCTCCAGTTTAAAAAGGTCTGACAGATCTTTTAGCAAGTTCTGGTTGTTGTGGTCACTGTATTCGAAGCGTCTCCTCATCACCATCTGGCTAATGATGTTGGATGCAGCATTGTTGAAGATAATTGATGTGCTAAAAGGTTCACCTGTAGGAGAATAAGTCACTGTTAAGATGTCTCTGTTAAGAAGCTTGGTACCCTTAGGATCATAGCTTATCTTTTCGAAGTACCTTTCTCCTGCTCAATCACCTCCTGCAGATATCGCGTCTCCTCCAGAATACTGTTTTCCATTATGTTTTTTCCCAGGCCAAAGGTGCGTAGGGTAGACAAGGCAAAACGCCGCTGCTTCTTCCACATTTCACCGTTACTAAAGAATAAACCACCTGTGTAGGAAATACACAAGACAACATAAAGGCTGGCACTTTCTGTAAAAAAGTTTTGATCATTTTTAGATTCTAAAGTAATTGTCTAATAATTATAAAGTACCTTTTTCATTTTCGATCACATCCTGCAGGTATCGTATCTCCTCCAGGATGCTGTTTTCAATTATGTTTTTTCCCAGGCCAAAGGTGCGTAAGGTCGACAAGGCAAAGCGCCGGTGCTTCTTCCATGTTTCACCATTACTCAAGAACAAACCACCTGTTCATCATGACATGAGTACAAATAGGTAAAATGGTTGCACTTTTTTCTTAGATATTTTTTTTTTTTACCTGAGCCTGAATAAAACCTCTCAGCCATTGGACTAAATGGTCGGTCCACAAAGTTCTCAGCCTGTGTCACGAGGGCTTCTTTGATCATCTTATATCCAGTCAGAAACACGGCTTTGTCCCTGCCCATACGGACACTGAAGACGTTCCCGAACTCATCACTCAGCTGGAGACAATAGAGAGGGTGTTGTTATGTTTTTATTAATTAGAATAAACAGATTAAACTGTTTTATTTTCCATATTTTAAAATTCACTAATTATATGAGCAATCAATTGAAAGCCATTCAACCAGATAAAACTAAATACAAATGCAAAACAAAATTGAAATTAAAATTAGTTTGTCAACTAAATTGGGACTAAGATTAAGTTAGATTTTAGTCAAAAGACTAAATAAAATTCACTGACAAAATTAACTCTAACTCTAGCAAAAAGTTAAATAAATAGTTGTTTTTTTAATGAACCTTACCTTGTTGAAATAAAGGTGAGGGTGTTTCGTGTCAACGCTGAAGAAAATCCCCACAAAAGGCAGACCCTTTGGTCCTGGAGGATAATTTGGTGGTTTTCTGTTATTGAGGAAATCAGCTACCAGAAGAAAGAAAAAAACAAATAGCAGCAGCCCTTTAAGGTC